TAACTCTACCTCTCAGGTAAAAAAATAAAATCTTTAAAAAAAAAAAAAGGACATAGAGTAGCAGGGCTTGAACCTGGTGCTCATATGGTATGCTAGCATTGCAGGCGGTGGCTTAACCTGCTACTCCATGACACTGGCCCCTGAATTTTTTAATTTTTACTTTTTTGGTTAGCACTAATTTTAGCCATTTAACTAAATCAGAAAACTCTCCAATAGTCTTCACACTTTAAATATTAAAACCTAGTACTAACAAGTTTAATCGTTTCATGTCCAGAAGAAGTCTCCAAAAGAACAGCTAATAAAAATTTGTTTGGAAATATCTACAGCAGTTAAAGAAAAACTTGATAGCAAAATGAATTGCCATCCCAGAGGGGCTAAAAACTAAAACTCAAGATTTATTGGCAGTAGAATTTTGTTAGCTTTAAATAAGCTCTATCTTTATTTTTGTAAAGTCTACCCACACTTTACAATTTTATTATTTTCATTTATTTGAAAGGCAGATAGAGACAGAGACAGAGGTCCCATCTGCTGGTTCATTCCTCAAATGACTCAAACAGCCATGGCTGGGCCAGGCTGAAGCCAGGAACCCAGAACTCAATCCAGGTCTCATACATGGGTGGCAGAGACCCAACCACTTCAGCCATTAACTGTTGCCTCTCAGGGTATGCATTACAGGAAGCTGGAATCTAAAGCAGAGTTGGATCATAAACTCCTAAATGGGATGTAGGATTCCCAAGTATCACCTTAACCTCTGTACTAAATTCCTGCCCCTAAACTTTTCAAAGCCAATCTTAAAAAAAGCTTATCACAATCAGACAAAATTCCAGTATATCATATAGTCAATCAAAGTCAGTTAATTATAGAACTGTAGGAAAGCTATTTTACTTTCAAATATACAGGCATTAATCAAGACTGAAATATGTTATTAATAATATGAAATGTTTTATCCTTTAACTGTATTCATCCTAGCTTTCTTCCTTTTTTAAATTTTCTTCTAATATGGCTTAGATTGGAAAACTCCTAATTACAAATTAGGATAATCTATTAACCAGAAAACAGGTCACCATGGCTATATGGTGGATGGGTGTGTATGCTTCTCTTATGTCTCATCAAGGGTATAACAACCACACACACTGTCACATTTGAGGGTATTTCAAAAAGTACACTGAAAATGAAATTAAAAATTTTGGTATAAAAAAAGAAATCAATGCACAATTTTCTCAAAATAAGTATTTTCCATGTATTATGAAAAAAGTTCTACATCAAAACAAGCTCATACTTTTCATTTTTCTAAGATAGATGGCTTTCTTTCTAAATACTCTATCCACTGCATCCACTTATCTACATCACTGGCCCAAAATTAGTTATCTGTAAGCACAAACACAGTGAAATCTAACATCTAGAAATATCTGAACTACCCTACGGTACACCTCATCCCACTCTAACCAGTATCCTGTTCCTTTCTCAGTATTTTTCTCAGAAGGTAAATTTGCCTTGATTCTGAAAGAGAACAAAGACAACACTTTTTACTTGTAGCAAAGCAAGTCCTAAAAACTAATGCCAATTTTAAGGAAGCCTCCTTAATACATCAAAATTTTTATACTGTATAATAATTACTGGAACTAAATTGCTATATCACTATTTTCTAATTTTCAATCCAATTCAAACTGCTTTTAAACAAGACATTTCAGTTATCTTCTGAGAATTTTCCATCAATTCTATCCCCCTACTTTTATTATTAAGCACTGCCAAATTTACAATTATTTTCATTCAAGAAAACTCCTGACAATTAAAAACCTAACTTTTCTAAGTACAGTTTCAGGAGTATGTTTTCTACTCACAGGTAAATGATGTATCACTTGGAAACCGAAGGCTCCCTCTCAAAGAAATAAATCAGTTGCCCCAACTTTCCCTCTTTTCAAACAAGGCTGCTGTTTCTGGCTGTGAAAAAGGCTGAGGAGTTGTTTCCTGTAGTGTGTGCACTAATCAAAAACTGGCAAGGAGACACGTACAATTGCAAGGGAGTACTTCTATTACAGTTTGATGTGCTAGCACATTATAAACAGGAAAAAAAAAGTTTGGTCAAAAGCCATTACGCTTCCTTATAAATTAAAACTTCAAATTCAGTATATTCAAACACTGTGGTTGTGACTGACAGAAAACAGCTTATTCTAGCTTTTCATGTTAACTCTAAGTAGACATTTGTGTTGAGTCTGTTAACATTAAATCTATCACTTATTTCTCAAAATTTTCTCATGTCCAAGAAATTACTTATAAATAGCTGTTGCTACATTTCAAATTACTCAAGTAAAAAATGTAAAACATCCTTAAGTTCAAGGATCATACGAAGGTATTTTTGAAAACCACACTGGATTACAGATTGGAAGAAAATACAGCTGTCCTTTAAATTAAACTTGGAGAAAAGTCAGCAATGAGCAAATAGGTTCTATTTTCTAAACTCAGGCAAAAATAAAACAAAACTCTAGTTTTCCCTTAAGACAATCTGTCTTACGTTGTAGATTTTCATGGAAAAAACTGAATTACAAGTTTAAACCAGCAATACAGGGGAAAAAAATAGAGCATTTTAGTACAAATTTTGAAATCCATGAATAATTTTTTCATAATACAGTTTCATGAAATTTTTGAAGATTTATTGTGTTCATGGTCTTAAAAATTTTTTGCACCAAAATAAACATCTTTTAATTTCATTTTCCTCAAACTTTCTGAAGAAACCTTATATTTGTTTCTTTATTGTGATAAGTACATGTATTGATTCTACACTTGATCTTAGCCAAAAGGCCAACAAGCAATACATATGAGTTGATTCTAAGTAACGCTGATAACAATTATGTTAGTCTTAAAGGAACTTACACAGAAAAGCAGAAGATTCAATTTAGGCTTGGGCTGAATATATAACAACATAAATTTTCTCCAATAAAGAATATTTATAGAGTATTTAATAAATAAATAAATAAATAATGGAGTGGCAGGAAATGAAAGCTATTAAGAAGCAATCAGGAATAAAGTATTTTTACTCTAATAAAACCATTCATATAATTATACTGACAAAATATGTAATTTCAAAGTTTTCATTGAAATTACAATATCCATCTGAAGACAAACTATCACTGAACATGTATCTATGATTTCTTAAGACAGAGAGGAACACACACATTTGAAATGGGGATCATGATCAAATTTGTAAGTTAAACATTTTCATGGAAACATGAAATTTAAAGTTTAAACTACTGATACAGGCAAAACAAAAACAGATGTGATATAGTAGAAACTGTTCCAAACTTGAAAGACTTAATGTATACCTGGTAGTTGTGAACAAATCAGAAAAAATTTGGTACCCACTTCCCTAGCCTTATGAGTACAGTACAGGCTGAATCTCAGCCTTGACTCAAACCCTTCCGCTTTGTGCTGTATATCAACTCCTGATCTGGCAAATTCAAACTCAGTTCTACCACTTACTAGCTCGGCATCTTAAGTAAGTGATTTAACTGAGTTTACATTTCTTTTTTTTTTTTTTTTTTTTTTTTTTTTGATTTTTTGACAGGCAGAGTGGACAGTGAGAGAGAGAGACAGAGAGAAAGGTCTTCCTTTGCCGTTGGTTCACCCTCCAATGGCCGCCGCGGCCGGCGTGCTGCGGCCGGTGCACTGCACTGATCCGATGGCAGGAGCCAGGTACTTCTCCTGGTCTCCCATGGGGTGCAGGGCCCAAGCACTTGGGCCATCCTCCACTGCACTCCCTGGCCACAGCAGAGAGCTGGCCTGGAAGAGGGGCAACCAGGACAGAATCCGGCGCCCTGACCGGGACTAGAACCCGGTGTGCCGGCACCGCAAGGCAGAGGATTAGCCTAGTGAGCCGCGGCGCCGGCTGAGTTTACATTTCTTTATCAACAAAATTAAGATTATCATCTGTTAACAGGATTGTAACAGGTATTTTATAGAATGGTGTTTGTTAAAGCACCTAATGTGGGACTTAAATGAATGGCAAAATGATGACAATAAAACAAAAATTCTTTCCTTCCACAGAAAAGATGAATTATATTCCTTTTCACATCTAAAAACCAGTAAATCACCAAGAAATAAAATACTACATTTGAGTTGGCCTAGTTTAAAAGGTAGCAGAAATTAACAATATAAGGCAGCATTTCTCAAATTGACTTTTACCAATTCTTAACATTAGTTCAGTAAGCACTTATGCGCAGGAGGATGGACAGTAAATTCAATGACCAAATATTCGCAGGAGGATGGACAGTAAATTCAATGACCAAATATTCTAAGTCTGCATTCTGTATCAATCTCTCATATAGATTCAAGCCTAGCAACATTCAAAACACTCCAAGAAATGCTGTAATAAGAAACTGTTAATTCATTTAACTCAGAGTTCTCAAAATGCATTTAGTCACAGAACTCTTTTTGTTTGCCTGTTTCTATTAATATCTCATTGGACTAGTTTTTGTTTTTGTTTTTGTTTTTCCCCACAAGACTAAAATTTCGAAACAGTACAGGGAAATCTGAGCTGTGCTTTATGTGTCTGATGCCATATGAACAACACCAGCTCATCTTAGCTCATCTTATTAAGACACCAAACAGAACATTAGTTAATAATTTTATCACTTTTATAAACTTATGACATACAGAAATTCAAAATCTGAAAACTGCTTTTCAGTATTTTGATATAACAGTTTGTGAGTTTGATATAAAAAGTACATTTCAGGACTTCAAATTAGGCCACATGCAAATCTTTTTGTATCTAAAAATCATGTCACAATGACTGAACATTTATGCCATAAGCTTTAGCTCTATGTGGCTAACAGTAAGCAATCAGTCACACAGCCTTTCCAAAAAAAAGAGGTGTTCTTGGCCTAGAATTTAAATTGCCATTACTTATATTCTCTTAAATCCCTCTTCCTTTCCAAACACATTTATATTAAGATACAGATGAACTAAATCAAAACATTTTCTATAATTCTGCTATTTTTACTTACCTAATATTTTCACAGCATAATGAGGACTTTCTAAGATAATTCCTTCCTCTGTATCAAATATAGGGTTATCTATTCCAGTTTTTGGAGGAATTTGAGCCAGTTTCTTAAGTCTCATGGAGGAATTAAGGTCAAGTTCTTGTTTTTTCCCTTCTTCTTCTCGCCTACGTCTCATGTCTTCCTGCTGTTGCCGAATACGCTCCAACTGTGCACTTCGCCGAACTGGCATCATCCTGGTGCCCAAATCTCCAGGACAGTCCACAGCCATCTCTCGGTGCTTTGAATGTTCCTCTGGTGATGCAAGACCAACATTTTTTACTTCACTGTCTGATTCTTCTGTGACATGCCCATTCATATGGGATGTTGTCATGGTTATCTATATGAACTTGCACCAATTTCTATAAATCAATTTTTCCTATAAAGGCAATTCTCTTGAGATTTGGTAGTATAAAATCCATGTTACTTCAAAAAAAATTCTTACATCACATAATAACGCTATGAAAAAGTATCCATGAAGGAAATCTAAGGGGAAAAATGGGGGAGGGGAATATAAGAATTATAAAAGCAGATTGTACAAAGCTTACTTCTAATCTTCACACAATATAGAAAATATCTAATAAGCATACAATATTATATTACTATGTAGATTAAGTACTTTCATTTTACAGATAATTCTCTGGAAATCAACGTGTTGTAAAAGAAAAAAGTCTTCTCTCAAGAATTTAAAGCATACTAAGAAAAATTATATACAGCAAGTGAGAAAATACAGTTTTGGTGACTGGTTTGGTAGAGAAAGTTGCTCATAAAAAAGGTGTTTTAATCATCTTTTGTAGTTTCAACATTGTATTTTATGTTCAATTAACTAATACATGGGATTGAAATAACTTCCTAGTTTCTGTAAAGAAACTTAATCAACTGATCTAGCATATAGCGAGGCCATGTCAGTAGCTCACTTGAAAACAGGCAGTATTTTAGGGAACAATTCACTAATTTCTAGGAGTTTTTGAGATGAAGAAGAAACCCAACTTCAATTACCATTAAGGCATCTACAGGATAAAACTACACAAAGTCAGAAAAGGCCTTCCTGGGTTATTATCTTTATGACTAGTCAGATTAAAAGAAGGAACTGGGGTAAATGATTATGAGGATTTATTTAGAGAAAATAGTAGTATCTGTTCAAGTCAAAAGTTTTAGAAGCCATACTGTAGAGCAAAGAGAAAACTGAATTTTCTTTCCTTTTTTTAAGATTTATTTTATTTATTTGAAAGGCAGAGTTAGAGAGAGAGAAGGAGAGACAGACAGAAGTCTTCCATCAGCTGCTTAACTTCCCAAATCCTAAGGCTACACCCAGGTGGCCAAAGCCAGGAGCCTGGAGCTTCTTCCAGATCTCCCATATGGATGCAGGGCCCCAAAAACTGTACTTTCATTCTGGCTCTACTACTTCCTCTAGCTTTCTGATTTAAGAACAATTTCTCCCTCAAAATCTCAGATTTACTTAAAAAATTTATTTGCAGAATTGTTCTGAGTTTTAAACAATATATGCAAGTTACAAAACAAAAAATATATACTTATATTATTAGTATTAATTTGATTCTATTTAAAAATCCCATCAACACATTAAAAAAAAAATTTTATTGGGGCTGGTGCTGTGATGTAACAGGTAGAGCCATGCCTGCAATGCTGGCATCCCATACGGTGCTGGTTCAAGTCCTGGCTGCTCCACTTCTGATCCAGCTCTCTGTGATGGCCTGGGAAAGCAACTGAAGATGGCCTAACTCCTCGGGCCCTTGCACCTGGGTGGGAGACCCGGAAGAAGCTCCTGGCTTCGGATCAGCCCAGCTCCGGTAGTTGCAGCCATTTGGAAAGTGAACCAGCAGATGGAAGATCTCTCTCTCTCTCCCTGACTCTCTGTAACTTTTTTAAATAAATAAATAAATCTTTAAAAAAAATTTTGTGCTGGATTACACTGGCATCAAGCCATTTCTCAGGCATAAATAGGCAGATTGTTTGTGTGTTTGTAAACCCACACATTAAATCTAATTAGTCTTCATTCACTCAAGACTTTAAAAATATTTACAATAATAAACCTACTACCTCCTTGAGTTAAATATTACTTCAATAAATAGGTTGGTTAGAGTACAATGCCAACTAAGCAAAATTAGAGTTTTTCCAGGCAATATTTCAAATGCCAACCAATCTTCCTCAAATGTCTCAGGTCAGTGAAAATAGAGACAGAAGATAGACTGTTTAAGACAAATTCTTCTAGACTATGAGGAAGACTACCACACCACTGATCAGAAAAATGTATGTATGTCACATGAGCCATATGAATTACATTTTTGTAAGAATTTTGGTAGATTCTGTCTTCCATTCAAATTTTAGTTTCTTTTTAACTATGTGATCTACACATAAGTACTTTATTGACAGTAGCTTGCCTTCTTTTGCATTAAAATGAGAGCATTTAGATTTAAATCAATTCTTAAATTTTATACGTTGATCATATACAAATGCAAATTCAAATTTATTTAAAATTTATTTAAAACTATTTTTATTACAAGTAAGCAGAAACTTCTACAGGAGTTATAGTAGTGCTATGCTTAATTTTAATAATCCGAGTATATATATTTCCAGAAATTTAAAACTCTCAACCTTCACTACTTACAACAATTACTGTGTATTAAAAATAAAATTTGGCTCAATAGGCTAATCCTCCGCCTGCAGTGCCGGCATACCGGGTTCTAGTCCCAGTTGCTCCTCTTCCTGTCCAGCTCTCTGCTATGGCCCCAGAAGGCAGTAGAGGATGGCCAAATCTTTGGGCTCTGCACCCGCAATGGAGACCAGGAGAAGTACCTGGCTCCTGGCTTCAGATCAGTGTGGTGCGCTGGCCGCAGTGGCCATTGAGGGGTGAACCAATGGAAAAGGAAGACCTTTCTCTCTGTCTCTCTCTCTCACTGTCCACTCTGCCTGTCAAAAAATAACTAAATTAATTAATTAAATTAAATAAAATTTGGGGCCGGAGCTGCAGCTCACTTGGCTAATCCTCTACCTGCAGTACCAGCACCCTGGGTTCTAGTCCCAGTTGGGGCACCGGATTCTGTCCTGGTTGCTCCTCTTCCAAGTCAAGCTCTCTGCTGTGGCCCGGGAGTGCAGTGGAGGATGGCCCAAGTGCTTGGGCCCTGCACCTGCATGGGAGACCAGGAGGAAGCACTTGGCTCCTGGCTTCGGATCAGTGCAGCGCCAGCCATAGCGGCCATTTAGGGGGGTGAACCAAAGGAAGGAAGACCTTTCTCTCTGAATCTCTTTCACTGTCTAACTCTGTCTGTCCAAAATAAATAAATAAATAAAAGTAAATAAAATTTGGGGCCAGTGCCGTGGCTCACTTAGTTAATCCTCTGCCTGCAGCGCCAGCATCCCATATGGGCGCCGGGTTCTAGTCCCGGTTGCTTCTCTTCCAGTCCAGCTCTCTGCTGTGGCCCAAGAGGGCAGTAGAGGATGGCCCAGGTGTTTGGGCCCTGCACCCACATGGGAGACCAGGAAGAAACACCTGGCTCCTGGCTTCGGATCGGCACAGCTCTGCCCGTAGAGGGCATTTGGGGAGTGAACCAATGGAAGGAAGACCTTTCTCTCTCTCTCTCTCACACTGCCTATAACTCTGTCAAAAAAATAAAATAAAATAAAATTTAATAATTAACCATGCATTTTTACTTATGCTAGTAAAAAACATAAGCTAGTCTATAAAACTTATGAACTGATATTAAAACTCTAAGGTTATTTATTGCTATTCTTTGCACTAAATCATGAGGGAAAACTGAAAGTCATGTACAAGGGACTGAGCCAGGTGTGATCTGGGTCAGAATTCTCATGCTTGGACTATCGTCATGACTGACTATCTAGATCTAATCTTTAACTGTCAGAAAAACTTTGCAACCTGATAATAATCCACTTACAATTTCATTTCGGTTATCTGCATTGGAGTGTTCACATTCTACTGGGAGACAGCAAAGAATTTATTAGAGACAGGAATCACTGTCTAATTTTTTACTCCCAGTGCTTAGGTAATACACAACATATAGGGATTGCCTAATAAATATTTGTTCAACTAAATTTAGAATGGCATAAATTCATAGAACATAAATACACAGACAATGGACTCTAAACAGGCTGTGGTAAAGGACGTTTGGAAATACTCAAACCATAAGGATACATTTCTATGGACTGTATTTCAATAGGCAACTAAAAATCAGACAGACAGTAGAATATGATCCAGGCAGATGAAATCACATGATCAACAGGAAGGAAGAGTGTGAGAATGGTACTTTCAGAGAACAGAATAGAAGATAATCAAGCTGGATGGGACGAATGGGAGCATGTAAAAGGATAAAACTGAAAACGCAAGCAGGAGACCAGATTGAGACGAGTTTTAGAGCTAAAGACCTTTATCTTGAAATTGGTAAGAATCATTAAAAGATATTGAGCAGAAAATGTTGTGATCATATGCAATTTTACAGAAATATCACTCTGAAGTGTCCAAGCATAGAAGACTGACCGTAGGGTGGCAATGAGATCAGTTTGAAAGCACTCATAAGAAACAGTCCCTGGGGCGGGCGTTATGGTGTTGCAGGTTAAGCCACCATTTGCAATGCTGGCATCCTATATGGGTGTTAGTTGGAGACCTGGATGCTCTACTTCTGATCCAGCTCCCTGCTAATGTGCTTGGGAGAGTAGCAGAGGACAGCCCAAATGCCTGGGCCCCTGCACCTAAAGTGTGGGAGATCCAGAGGAAACTCCTGACTCTTGGCTTCAGCCTGGCCTGGCCCAGCACCAGCCACTGCGGCCATTTGGGGGAGAGAATCAGCGAATGGAAGACTGCTCTCTCTCTGTAACCCTTTCAAATAAGTAAATAAATCATTAAAAAAAGAAAGAAAGAAATGGAGTCCTGAACACTAAGACAATGATAATGAAGAAAAGTTATAATGAAGAAATATTTAAGTTATATAATTAGTAGAATTTAGTGTCTATTTCACACAGCATAGCAAAAAGATGGAGAAAGGTTTTGTTTGGTTATGGGAGACAGAGTTCTGTAAAAGGAAGCTAAACAAGCTTCAATAAATGCGAATGACTGAGATTAAGGGAACTGAAAATAGCTTAAGAGGTACAGGCCCACAGAAAACTTGGTAACAACAGAATCATTTATGTAAGAGCTGGGATGCAAGAAGGTTAGCAGAAATACAGTTTTCTACATAATTACTACTCTAATTTTTAGGCAAAGAGAAATGGATATGCATAACCATCTTCAGTCTATACTAGAGTCCAGAACTCTAGAATATTTTTCAATTCATCCTTCTCCCACTTCTACAACAAATACTGCCCTTTAACCAGCAGCTGGGATGTCTCATTTTAAGTCATCAGCATTCCTCTGACATTCTAAGAGGTTGGACTACTTGTTTCCATAGAAACAGCTTTGTCAGCTAACATAGGACTCAGGCCAAGAACAGTGAAAAGAACTTACATTGTGCAAACTGGAAAAACCTTGTCTACTGTCCTTAGTTTCTGTTCTTTGGTTTTTCATAAAACTCAGGCTAACTTTCTTAATCTGTAAAATAGAAAAACAAAACTTAATCAAGTGAAGAAGTCTGTAGTGTCTTTGAGGGGAAAAAGAAAGCTTAATCAATATAACACCAAACTCTGTTTACAGATAGGTAAAATTTCTTAGTATACAGTCATAAAAATACACCATTACCACCACCACCCCAGTCTCTAAGGGACATGAATTACAATCAATGTTGCTGTGTATTAGTGCTGTTGGGAATGTCAAAAGATGCAGCCACACTGAAAAATCTGGCAGTTCCTCAAAAGGTTAAAAATAGTTATCCTACATCCCAGCAATTCTGTTCCTAGGTATACAGCAACAGAAATGAAAACATACATTTACAGGTAAAAGTACATGCAAAAACATTCATAGCATTATAAACAGTCAAAAAGAAAAAATTAAAATGCCTATCAACTGATGAATCAAAAGTTGTAGATTCATAAAGAAGTAGTATTATTTTATAAAGAGAAATGAAGTACACACATATCCTACAATATAGCTGAATCTGGAAAACAGAAGTTAAAGACGCCAGTCACAGGGTGGGCCTTGGGCCCCGCAGTGAAGACTTTGGATGGGATGCCTGAGTCCAATATCAGTGTCTGATGATGAGCTCTGGCTCCTGACTCCAGCTTCCTGCTAAGGCTGGACCCTGGGAGGAAGCAGCGATGGCTTAAGTGGTTGGGTCCTAGCCACCCATGTGAGAGCCTTGCATTCTGAGCTTCCACCTCTGACCTTGGCCAAGCTCAGGCTGTCACAGCATTTAGAAAGTGAACCAACAGATGGGACCTCTCTTTATCTATCTGTCTCTCAAAATAATTAATTAATTAAAAATATGGAATTCTGTTTAGCAATAAAAAAGATGTTCTACTGATATACATGACAACATGGATGGCCTAAAAAACATAATCCCAAATATTAGAGTCCACACTGTATGATTCCATTTATATGAAATTTCTAGAAAGGGCAAAATTAATACTGTAACAGAAAGCAGTTTGGTGGTTTCCTGGGGCAAAGGGTGGGAGTAGAGAGTCACCTCAAAAGGACATGAGGAAATTTTTTTCCCTGTGAAACTAGTGTTTAAAAATTAATTTCAATATTATATAAATTTACCAAAATTCACACCATATCCATAAAAACATATGAATTTTATAGAATGTAAATTATACTTCAATGATGCTTTTAAAAACTCATTAAGTCAAACATTTAAAATTAGGGAATTTTAATGTAGTATATCTATTTAGCTGACTTTAAAAAAAAAAACAAAACCTCAAATCACACAGTTTAGATGACATCTTGTTGCACGGAAACTGTATCTGAAAGAGACTGATTAAAAGACCATCATTGGGAGGTTGGTATTGTGGTGCAGCAAGTTATCAGAGCACTAAGTGCCAGCTGCTCCACTTCCGATCCAGTTCCCTGCCAATGAGCCTGAGAAAGCAACAGAAGGTGGTCAAGTACTTGGATCACTGCCAACCACATAAGGGATCCTGGCTTCAGTTCCAGGCTGCTGGCTTCAGCTGGCAGCCCCATGCAGCCATCGGGGGGAGTGAACCAGCAGCTGGAACATCGATCTCCCTTAGCCTAATTTAAATAAATAAATCTTTAAAAAGAAAAAAGATCACTGTATATTCCAAAAACAAGTCATATACTAGCATCACATAAATGACCCTATTTACCCAATAAATGTTTAACTCTGAATAAATTTAATTTTCTAACAATGAACAGGCCACACATATTTATAGAAAGAATTTAGTTATGTACAAAACTAAGTGAATAGAAGTTTAATGGAAATATATTTGGGGCTAGTCATGGAGGATATTTCCTCAGAAATTATTAGTCAGTAAAAAAGGCACAATTTAAACAAAAGTAAATAGATCACTCAATATTTAATTGAAAAATTACTTCTTAAATTACAGAACTAAAAAACTTTTTAATATTAAGAAAATTTTAAACCACATATAAAATAAAAATTACTTTAAAAACTATTAAGCAAATTCATAAAACAGACAAATCAGGCCCCCTAAAAGACCAAGTGCAATGTCCTGTGTTTGGTTTTCAATGGAATACTCTGACAAGTCCTACAATAAGGACATTTCTAAAATTCCACAAAGTTCATGTTTTAGGTTTCAGATAGTATCATTTAGATAACGGCATTCCAAAAAAGCCAATGCTTTTCTCATAGCTTTAAAACTAACTGCATTTAGAATGCACAATGCCACTTAAATTTGTAAAGAATAGAAGCAAACTTCTCATAATAAAAGAGTCTTCAAAGTAAAAATCTAATAAATAAAGATCTCAAAGGAGAATAAAGGCAATATGAGTAACAACTTAAAAATCACTCAAATCATCTGCTTTCATGGGCAGAAAAAAAGCCCACACGATTCCAAACACTTGATTCAGTTAGATAACAATAAGGCAATATCATTAGATTAGAAGATAAATCTTTTTCAGATGCAAACATTCAGAGATCTGGTAGCTTTTCTAGTCCTGGCAAAAAAAAAAAAAAACATATATAAAACACATCTGGGGGAGACACTGAGGCATGGCATGTGAAGCTGCTGCTTGGAATACCCACATCCTATGTGAGAATGCCTGGTTCAAGTGTTGGCTACTCTGCGCTTCTGATTCAGATTCCTGCTAATGCACCTGGGAAGCAGTGGATGATGGCTCAAGTATTTGGGTGCCTAACACACACTTGGGAGACCCAGATGGAGTTCCTGGGCCCTGGCTTCAGCCTTGTCTACTCCTGGCTGTTGTGGGTATTTGGGGAATGAACTAGCAGATGAAGATCTCGCTTTCTCTCTCTGTCACTCTGACTTATAAATAAATAAATAAATACATCTAAAAGAAAAAACACATAGCAATTGAAAGATTTAATTTACAAGTTCCTATTCTCACCTTGATATTCTAGGCCATACAATTGCCTTGAGACAAAATAAGATTAACATGGACAAAACAGTTGAAAAAAAATACTGCTGCATTTACAATTTGCTATCTATATTCTAAAATACTCATAAAATTTTTCAAATATTTATTTCCAAACTGGATACTCACATGCAGAAGAATGAAACTGGACCATTATTTCACATCATAAAAGAAAATTTCAACTTGGGGCAGGGCATTGGCCTATCAGGTGAGTTACTACTTGGGATACCCACATCTCATATGGGTTCAAGTCCCGGTTTCATTCCCAATTCCAATTTCTTGCTAATGCACACCCTAGGAGGCAGAGGGCAATGAGGTTCAAATAGTTACATCCCTGCCACTCTGGGAGAGACCTGCATTGAGATCCTGATTCTCAGTTTCAGCTTGGACCAGCCCCAGCCATGGCAGCCATTGGGAAGTGAACCAGTGGGTTACTGATATTTTGGACTAGATAGCTCTTCGTTATGGGCAGTGTCCTTTGCATTTTTAGTAGCATCTCTGGCTTTTACGAAGTAGATGCCAGTTAGTACAACTGTCTTTCCCAAGTTACAGCAGTGAAAATGTTTCTGGACATTGTCAAATTTCCTGAGAGGGGATGATGAATGGCAAAAATCAACCTTGGTTGAGAAACCATTAGTATCCACAAATGTTTCAGAAGTACTAAGGAGATAATTGAAGATAAATTTCAGCCAAAGCTGAGACACCCTGAGTTAAACACGAGAATATTAACTAATATTTTCTAATATAACTCGTAACCTGCAGCATTCAGTCTTCAATATTATTCAAAGATTTCTCATGTACACTGTGGCACCATAGGTTAAGCCTTGGCCTGTTGTGCTAGCATCCCATATGGGCTCCAGTTCGAGTCCCGGCTGCTCTTCTAATCGTGCTCTCTCTGCTAATGGCGTAGGAAAGCAGTATATGGGATGCTGGTGTTGCAGATGGCAGCTTAACCTGAAGCGCTACAACACACAGGCCCTCTTGATTTTCTTTCACATCTCCATAGGGATTCTCTCTTTTAAACAAGGAGACTTTATGAGAAACATATTTGCAAATCCAAACACCTACCAGACTCTTCTTGCTTTTGTTATGCCTAAAATTTAGGCATGCCCTTAGGTACCCCCAGGGAACACTGGGGTTGCATACTGGATCCTACTTTACCACCTTCCTATACACATGTAGATACAACTGTAACAGAAGTACCTTGCAATATAAAGAATCATATTATGAGGGGACAAGAGAGCACTGAGATTCTTTCTTTTAGCCAGATAATTAAGTTCTCTATATATTTTAGGTATTAGCTTCATCCAGGTCTCCCACTTGGGTAGCAGGGATCCAAGTACCTGGGCCATTTTTCACCACTTTTCCCATGCTATGAGCAGGGAGCTGGATTGGAAGTAGAGCAGCCAGGACTTGAGCCAGCATCCATATGGGATGTCAGTGTCACAAGCAGCAGCTTTACCTGCCACACCACAATGCCAACCCTTCCTATATTTTTCAGATGACATTTCCTGAAGTGAAAAGTGTTTTGCTTTTAATCTGTGGGAAATTCTCTATTTGTTCATATCAAAGACAAAGCTGAAAGTCTTAGGATGATATTCAAGACCACACGCTCATAGCAGGAATTGGTTGGAAGCCAAAGAGTATCAAAGATATCAAATGGTTGGTTACTTGAACTGCTCCATTATCACCTTCAATTCCTTAGTAATAAAAGATTAAATGTACCCAAAAGGTTAACAAGTTTTTTTTAAAAAAGGCACTAGGACAAAAGTTAATTTTCAAACTACCTAGAAATGCATTTTTTTAACATGTGGTTTAAAATTACAAGCAATATGGCTTTTCTGTGGCTAACAGTCAAGAATGTATATGGCCTAGTTGCAGAATAAGAATGGTCTAGATAAGGGACAGTGTAAGAGATAGAAGATAAACCAGAGGATACTCTGAATGCTTAACTAAATTGTTTGAATTTTCTCCTGCAAGCACTGGGAAGAGTATAGGTTTCTGAGTTAGAAAACAAACATGGCTTTTCAGAAAGCAAAATCTATTCTATACTGTAACCAGAGTTTGACTAGGAAGGA